AATGCCACCAGTTTGACTGCCTCAATATCTTGCAGTAATTTGCTTATGTTTTGTAAAATTTCACCACAAAGCAGAAACTGTATCAAAAAAATCTGCAACCCGTTTGACTTAGAATCTGGAAAAAAAAAGGGATTTGCCAAAGTTGTACCTGCACCAGAAAGTTTATTGAAAATATTTGGATAAAAKCCAAAATTCTTCAACAGAAATTGTGAAGGATTCACTTTGTCTCAGCTTTTAATAACCGCTTATTTAAACGTCTCCCCCTGTCCACTCCAAGCTCTGCTCCGCTCCTCCACTCTTCCTCCTCTTTCTTTCCCTCCGCTCTCTGGCTCGCCCACCCCCTCGCTCTGCCCGGCTCGGTATCTCCACTCGCTCGCATCAGGAACGCTACCTGTCAAACCTATGGGATTTCTTGCTGCCGTCGTCTTTGCTGCGCCGGTGTTAGCTAGTGAGGGGCGTCTGCAGCGGCTGCGGGGAGAGCAGCGTTCTGTAGCCGGCTTTAGAGGGCACGGAATGTCATGTCTCCTCTGCAGGTAAAAWCCCCCCAGCTGCATGTCTGCATCAAGGCTGCGCCGCTGCTTCTCCCAAAACTCCACCTGTACCACCGTCATCCTGCCTTTCAGTCCTGCTTCCTTCCACTCTCCATGTCTCTACCTCACTGCGTTTGTGTGTTAATGAAATGTGCTGCAGTTTGTGCTGTGTGCAGCTGCGTTTTCTGCTAAACTGACATCAGGCTGTCACTTTATATCTGTCCCTGGCTGGGTTTTTTAGCTACCCRTGCCAGTTTCTTGCATCCATGAAGGCTTTGGAGGGGGGAATAAAGCGATGAAATCCAGTTGATGACCTGAATACAAGTTTGCTCACCTCTTRTCGTGCTTTTGCATCCGATGCTGCTGAGTGCAACTCTTTCACCATAACTGCAGGCGGCATTATGTAATATCACTGTGTGACTTTGTGGAGCGTAATGTGACTCATCAGTGAAGATGACGCAGCGCAGGAAGGATCTGGGAGTTGTGAACCAACACTGACACCACCTCCTTCACTTTTTTTCACGTTGCAGGTTATGATGTGAAGAGAAATGTGTAGTATGTGTGTGTTAAAGACATTAAAACTGTGTATTGCCAAGAAATTGGTGATGTGTTAAAAATCATGACACAGGTCATGATGTATTGCCATTTCTTTGCAGAACTAGATTCTAAGTTTAAAAAATCATAAAGAGCACAGCATGCATTACATGCATGAAACTGGATTAAATTGAGTTTGTTTTTATGCAATCAGAAGAACACTGAACAACAGTGAGAACTGTGTATTTGTTTCTACTTCGATCCATCCATTAGGCCTTATTTAAAAATCAATATTTTGAGAATCAATAAAGTATCAGGAAATGAAATATCACAATATTTAAATGTATTGATATTTGCTTACACTTCTAAAAGAAAATGTTTTAGTGGGATATTATAAATCCATTTTTGAAAACATAAAAATAATGTTGCGTGGATTATATCTAGCAAAGGAATGTATTTAGTTGGTCATGATTACTTTTGAAAAGTTGTTTGAGTATTTGATATCTAGCGTTAACTTTTTATCATCTGGCTGCTTCTATAAAAGGCAAGGATGTCTTTGCCCGTGTGTGTGTGTGTGTGTGTGTGTGTGTGTGTGTGTGTGTGTGTGTGTGTGTGTGTGTGTGTGTGT